TGTTGATCAAAAGAGGTAGAAAATTGATAATAACACTATTACTTTTAAGATTTAAACGGACAAGACTGTTAAAATAACTCATTTAATATCTATGTTCCGTGCATCGCACGGAGTACGTACTAGTACAGAGAATGATGCCAATTGAAGTTATGGATATATTTTTTTTTTTTATCCTTCAATTCAATAATGTTGATTTAATTGTAAAAAACTATTCCATTAATTGGTGATTTTTTCCATATAAATGCAGGTCACCATCAGAAACCAATATGCATGTGAATTTGAATCAATTTTCTCCTCCCCTCATAAAAAATGTCTAACTCCGAAATTCACATCATATCAACATCAACGGTCACAATCCAACCCCAAGGAGTTACGTCCCAGATCAACTTAACACCGTGGGATCTGGAGCTCCTATTTCTCGAGTACAGCCAGAAGGGCCTTCTCTTTCTCAAGCCCAGCCCACAAACCGAGCCCATTACCTCCTTAATCCAACGCCTCAAACAATCCCTCCAGCAGGCCCTCCATTTCTTCCCTCCCCTCGCCGGCCGCCTCGCCGCAGCCGCGGCCCGCCGCTTCTCCATCGACTGCAGCCCTGCGGGAGGCGGAGGTGCTCTCTTCGTCCACGCCAAGGCGGATCTCTCCGTCTCCGACATCCTCCGTCCGGCGTACGTCCCCGGCGCCGTCCATTCTTTCTTCCCCCTCACCGGAGCCCGCAACATCGACGGCGTGTCCCTGCCGCTGCTGGCGGCCCAGGTCACCGAGCTGGCCGACGGGATCTTCGTCGGCCTCAGCGTCAACCACCTCCTCGCAGACGGGACCTCCTTCTGGCACTTCCTCAGCTCCTGGGCCGAGATATCCCGCGCCGGACCCGTCGTTCGGTTGTCCAAACCGCCGTCTCTCGACCGGGGCTGGCTCACCCTCGACCTGACGGGGTCGGCCGGGGTTGACGTCCACGACGCACTCCACATGCTCGACGAAAGTCCCGAATTACCACCACCAAAACCGAGCTTCCTCCGCGAAAGGATTTTCCGTTTCTCCAAACGCGCCGTGGCCGGTCTCCGGGAGAAAGCCGGCAGGGAAGCCGCCGGGATCAGAATCTCATCCCTCCAGGCGATCGTGGCCCACGTGTGGCGGTCCGCCATACGCTGCCGTTTTGGCGGGAAAAACCCGGCCGCCCGCGGAACAACGACGTCGTTCGAGATACCGATTGGCGCTCGGGGGCGACTCGACCCACCCCTACCCGAAGGGTATTTTGGGAACGCAATTTTCCCGGGGATCGTGACCTTGAAAATCGACGACGTGCTGGAGAACCGGCTGGGCTGGACGGGGGCCAGGATAAACGAGATGGTGGGCTCCTTCAATACGCCCAGTAGGGTGAAGGAGGTGTATATGGACTGGATAAGGAGACCCAATCCGCAGAGGCTGGACCGGCTACCGGAAAACTACTTCATGCTGATAAATTCGCC